TCTTCATCAACCATGACCACATGAATACGTCATAACGTTTGATAAATACATATATGCTTTAAACCCATCGCGCTAAGAGTCTATTGTCAACATGGGGTCAATCACGAAATTCTAGTGCGTGAAGTTGGCTCTCAGTAGTTTTTCATATAAATTATATGGCCTTTGGTGTGAAGTTGGCTTCGTTTGTGACGTCATTATTCGCACTAGATTTACTAGTTTTTCTAGTATTTACTAGCGTGATTCGCCCCATGATTGTCAATGGCCCTGCTGTAGCGCAGATTTGAATACAGCTACAGCAGTAGTGTGCGGAGGGGGGGGTTTACCCCCCCCCCTGTGATTTGGATGAGAATTTAATTTTCGTGAAATTTATTCGAAATTGCTAGGGTTTTTGATTCAAAAAGTGAAGACCTTTTTTTTTAGCTCTTCAATGTAGAAAATTGAGGAAAATTCTTTCAATTTGCTAGGGTTTTTGGCTCCGAGAGATTTTTTTCCGATTTGCTAAGGTTTTTCGCGGAGAAAATTCTTTCGATTTGCTAGGGATTTTCGCCTCAAAAAAAAAAAAAAAACGAAAATTTGTAAAATTTGCTAGAGAATTTTTTGTTTTTGAAAAATCACCCCCCCCCCCCCTGAAAAATTTTCCTCGCACACTACTGAGCTACAGTATGAACATTGTAAATACCAATATTTAGTTTTGGTAACTGTTAGTAAATTCGCCATTTACCAACACATTTAAACAATTCTATTATACTGATGTTTTGTGTGCGAAAGCATTTGGAAAGCTCTAGTGTAGTCAATCTTCTACTGAAACCCACCAATTACACGAAAAAGAGAATGAAAGAAAGATTATGAGAGAGAAATACTAACGCAAATTCGAGTATACGATATTTCACCGTATTACACAAAAAAGCACAACCGTTCATGCCGTTCATGGATATCTATGTATTAAACTACTGCGACATTTGATGGATTTAAACAAAACGCCTGTTGCCGGCGAACGGTCACTTATTGATTGTCCGAACTGCCCTTTGTGCCGAAAGCCAGCTACATTAGATAAATCGCGCCCGGTTTACTTAGATTAATCTCTTTTTAGTTGATTCCATTCAATTTATAACAAAAAGAATAAAAAACTAATTAATGAAAATGATAATATAAAAATGTTTAATGTCCCCTTTAAGATCCCATCAAATAAAGCAAAAACAATAATGGTTATCTTTTTCTACCAAGAATCTTACTTACTTAAAATATGTAATCATTATATTGCAATGGGAACTGAATTGGTTATTATGGATTCGGTTTAACCTCACATCAATTATGGAGCAGCTTACAAGAAATATGAAAAAATAGCACAAAAATACCCAATAGATTGAATTATGCCGTAAACAAGCATTAAACAAACCGACAGCACCAACAGCATGATAAAAGGATATCATTTCAATAATAAACAGAGTAGATCGGTTTCATCTTATATTTTCGGTATCCATGAGAAAAAGAGGAAAATTTAGTCTTTCTCTATTGATCAATAAAATATACAATCTTTGATTTGATTAAAAAAATTACAATCTTTAAACAAAAAGACAAAAAAAAAACCATTTAGATCTATTTACATTTTTTGCTATTTTATTAATTCGAACAAATTTTATTTAATTTTAGGCTACTTGAAATATTTTCTCAAGTTCAAATGCTTATCTAAACAACTAATCGTTTTTCTTCTGATTTTCCGTCGACGTTTGGCCAATTGTCAATGTTCGAATAATTTCATTGAGTTTGTCGGTGAATGCTTCGAATGAAAAATGCTGTTGAACTCGTTTCCGTCCCTTCTCACCCATATTTTCGCTCACATTCCGATCTCCAGTCACCAATCGTGCCATCGATTGGCTGAAGCACTCTTTGGTTGGTTCGCACAAAAAGCCAGTTGATTTATCGACAATCTGTAAAAAAAAAAATATTTAAAAAAAAATCTTTCAAAATATTTTTTTAATAATAAAAGTGGTCGTTGCTAATCTGATTTTCTCTTGTTAAAGGTAAGATTTTGTATGAAAGTGATGAAATTCAGTCGACCACTAAAAAAAGTACCGTTTCAGTAGGTCCGCCACTGTTGCACGCGATGACCGGCTTCTTCATGTACATGGCCTCAATGGGAACGATGCCAAAATGTTCATTGGATGGTGTATACAGCAGAGCATCACACCTGTTAAGCAGCCACAATTTGTATTTATCATTCGGCGATTTCAATAATTTGCATTTATTCTTCACGCCCAATTCCTCTGCCAATGCTTCCAATTCTTCAAAGTGGTCAACATTTTCAATGACTCGTTTATCATAGCCGCCGGCCAAAATCAGTTGACATCGATCAAAATTCGGTTTTGACACACGTTTCTCTAGTTCCTTAAGTGCTTTCAATGCCAATGGAATATTTTTCTTTCTCTCAAATCGATTGATGGACAAAAAGACGATTTCATCGCCGCGTAATTTTAAATCATCTGCATCTGAATCAGTGACAACAGTATTATCAAAGTATTTTGTATTCAATGACGGATACAAAACCTCTGGCATCGCTGTGATACTTTTAAATGTTTCTTTGAACATTCGTCGCGTGAATTTGCTATTGACCAAAATCACATCGGCCATTCCCGTCGTGAATTCTTCCACCCAGTTGATTGGGTAACGATACAATTTTCGCAATGGATTATTGTCTTGTGGTGCCATCAATAAGTCAGGGAAATGACAATAGAATAGAATTTTCGGTGATCCGGCGGAAAATTTTAAAAGCGGCACACCAATCGATATTGAATCCACAAAAATTACGTCAAACTCTTGTTGACGCGATAGAACAAAGGTTGTGTATAATGTTGCGTATAGCATTCGAAAGTATGCACAAGCTGCGATACATTTATTGAATATTGACCGTGGCAACCAGTCACCAACGGTTTGTACTTGTAAGGTACCGTCACGCGTTTCCTCAAAACAATGCGCAGGATTGTGGTGATTTGTTAGAAATTGAACGGAATGACCGGTTTTTTGAAGTGCCAATGCAGCATCGACAACTAAGCGCTCAGCACCACCGATACCCAGATCCGGATGCATGAATAATACACGAACCATGGTGAGTGGTTTTTTTTTCTGTTCCCGATGGAAAATTACTTGGTGGCAGACAAAAGGCGTTTTGGCTCAAAAATAACGGTTTGACGCAGAAACAACGTTTTGACTAGAAATAAAGATTAAATTTCAGTACACAAATAAAATCAACTTTTATGATGAAAAATTACCAAAAATGTGGTCACGTCTCCACAAAAGAAAAATGTTCGCTTTGGAAAAATTGAACGAATAGGCACAATAACTCGATTTTAAAAATAAATAAATAACACTGAACTTTGGAAATGAAAAAAATTGTCGATTTACATCGAGATAATGAGTTTGAGTCAATCAAACATTGCCCCACTGAACAAATTTTCTTTTTTCACAGACGTATTTTATAAATAAATGCCGCAATTGACACATCAATAACAAAACATTTGACAGTTCGTTGTGTGTCGTAATGTTGTTTTTTTTTAAAGGAAAAGAGCCCGAAAACTACAGCCCAAACATACATATTTTACAGCAGTTTCAAATAGCAACTCTGTGAATGAATCATCTGCAGATGGCAGTGAGTAATTGTGCTGGAAATTTCGTTAAAATTGCGCAACATTAAATGGCTTTGAACCAAAAATCTCTTAATTCTCCGAAAAAATCGGCACTTTCCATCGAAATTGGTTTCCATTCGAAATTCATTAAAAGAAGCATCGCGAAGCGTAACGTTTTTTCTTCTAGAACAAAATACATTTTATGGTGCAATAATATGAAAAAAGTATACGTGCCGTCACGTTTGTCGTTGATTTCACCATCTGTTCGCCGATGGTTAAACGAGTTTTATTTCTACGACGCAATTCGTACACATGCACAACGACGAATACACAATATCGTCTGTGTGAAACAGCGGCAGCCGTGTGCAATACAGCCGAGATTCGGAAACAAAGCAAAAGAAAGAGCACGAATGACTGTGTTGCGTCCGATCGAATGAGACGGCCGATCAATTGCAATTGTGTTGGTTCGCCCCACCATCATCGCCACGAAACGAATCGTTGAAGAAGTAGGCTTCAAGTGAATGTAACACAGTTCGTATCGTTCATACTCGTTTTGGCAGAGTCACGTAGCAGCCATACCAACAATAAACCTACAAAATTTTCTACACACACTTTACTTTGTGTTTTAGTTTTGGATTTTAATTCAGTTCAGTATATACCCGAAAACGGCAGCCATTTTGAAAACAAATTTATTAATACATTAGAAACCGTGGAAAGGAAAAGAAAACGCAATCAACAACAAAAAGTAATAGAAAAATCTAAAAGTCAGAGCAAAAATAAAATAAAATAAATTACGTGCAGAAAAGAAAAGAAAAAATTTCGTTTTCAAGTGCAACCAAATTAAGACAAAGAAACAAAAATCGGCCGTAAAGAAATTTTGTTTTGCTTCAGTTGGAACAATAATAATTTTTTTTCACACGACCAAAAATTCGTTTCTGTTTATTTTTTTTTTTTACGTCACTCAATATATAACAAAATTTGTTAGTATTTTCACAAATTCAAACGTGGTACAAAAAAAAAAGTCGCATTAGTTTTTGTTGAAGAAAAAAATAAATTCCAAATTGAGTACGAATTAGTGAAACAAATTATTTTGTTTGGTTTTAGTACAGCAACAAAAACATTGAATCGAAAAAAATAGGAGCGAACTTTCTTTGTTTCAAATCACGCAATTTTAATAATATTTCGGGTTTTTTCGATCAGTTTGAACCACAAACACCTTGTTGTGACTCAACGCATTGAGATCCCCGTCGTCAATACGAGATCAATAGATTGGACCGAAATTTCATTTATTCTTTTTGTAATTCAAAAAAACATAAGAACAAATTGTGGACAATATTTATTTTAAAATTCAAAATAGTGCAACAAAAACACTCATTTTTCCAGCGGAATAATTAGAAAGAGAGAAATAACGAAACACACTCGATTGTTTGCCTTATTGAAATACACAAAAAACAACAACGTTTAGTACAATAACAAAAAATAAGAGAAAGACCAGTTATATCCAAAAAACGTATGAGTTTTAGTTCTCTCAGTCTGTGTTAAAGAAGAAATTTTTATTTATTTCATTTTGTCGCACTGAAGAGGCATAAACAAGAACGATACACACACATACTACAGATATATATATTTTTTCCCTGAATTCAATTTCGTTTGAGTGTGTCTCCGATCTCAATCATTCATCACCAAACCGAAAAAAATAACAAATTTCCAAGAGTGTGAGTGTATGCACCGAGTAAAAACAACAAGCAACATAGACACAGTCACAACGTACTTCATACCCAACCATCTTTTTTTCAATAGAAAGTGGAACATTTACGTTGAACGCAACGACGAAAAGAGATAGAAACAACACTAGCATTTGTTTTTTTAACGCAGAAAGACTTCAGTGTTGCAAACCAGAGCATACAGTCAAACGGTAAGTTCAACGATTGTTTTTTTTAATATGATTTCGCTTTGATGAAGCAATATTGTGTTTTTAAGTAGGCTTTTGAGACATAAAATGATTGAAACGTTTCACTATTTGAGAAGAGACGGAAAAACTTGAAATATGCAAAAAAGAGACGGGGAATGTTGAAAAAAAATATGCTTCAGCAAATAGAGAGAAAAATTTGATTTTTCGAGCGGAAGAAATTAGTAGATTAAAAAAAATCCATTGAAAAAACAGTCGAAATCAAAATGGGGTTGAATGAAATCGAAAAAAGACTTGGAAAGAGAGCATGAGAAAGGAAAAAATTTGGAAAAAGGAAAAGAAAAGAGAGAGAGAGAAGGAGGGAGAGAAAAATGACAAAGAGAGATAGAGAAATGAAAAGAGAGTGAATGATGTAAAGAAAACGCAAAAAAAAGAATAAAATCCGAATAGTAAAGTCCATTGAAAAATAAACAAAAAAAAATACCTCCAGACAAACGACGAAAAAAAATCCACTAAAACAAGTCAAAAGAAAGCATTTCCGTGGTAGTTTGAAAAGAATTTTTCCCGTGGTATTTTTTTTCTTCGTCGAATGAACTTTAAGCGATTGCAGCTGGAAAAAAAGTGTTTCTTTTGAATCGCGGAAATTTATTGCTTCCATTGAAATAGCTGGGTTGAAAATCGTGTTCGTCAGAGTTCAGTGACGTCAAAACCGATTTTCCCCCTAATGCGTCGCAATATTAATATGCAGACACAAAATACATTCAAGCATTCTCGCGTTCTTTTCAATGCCCATTCGATAAACGCGACTTACATTCCCATACTCTTTCATGTCTTTCTGTCTCTCATTCAATTCACAATAGAACAATGCCATTCTATTTTTTTTTTTCTCTTCTGTCTCTTTTTTGCATAACAAAAGCATTTTGCAAACTTGAAGCAAAAAGAATCTAAATGAAAAAAAAACTCGATTTTTCCGTTGGTATATTTACAGCAGTAGCAGCAACATTAATTGTATCATCATCATCCTTTGATTTGCTCACGAGATCTCTATTTTTTTTTCGTATATATGTGTGTGTCTACTCTCAATAATTGTTATTGAGTAAATTTTGTTATTACGTTTTGTTGGTGTGTTTTTAAAAGAGTCGACGTCCAAGACGTAAATTTTTTTACAAACTAAAAAAAAAAAAACAATTATTCACCTACACAACATCGTGCACACATTTGAAAAAAGTGTGCGTGTGAGCGAGAAACGGTGACAAAACCAACCACACTAGAGCAAAATTTGTATAAAAGGGTGTTGCTTAAATGCATCATCTATGGAAACAATCCGCAACAAAATCAACCAAATTCACACAAACACTAAAAGCCCAGTACATTCGATACAATAGCCGATCAGGCAATCGATACATTCAAAAATACAAAAAATTGATTTGTAGGCAACCCTTCGGCACATTCAATATTATTCGGACAGAGTGCAGCAGCTGCAGCGGAAATCCATTAGCACCTACACCACAATACGATAGCAAACGACCGACAATACACACACTCTTCTCACATCTGCATCCAATTCAGTCATAGTTGAACCGTCATTGCAATCGCATCTGCATATAGCAACACACATCAGACAGTTTATCGTTTTAAATTTTCAAGTAAAATATAGAGATTGAAGAGAATAAGGAGCGGTTTTGAAATTGAAAGAGAGTATTCAACAAAAAATCAGTCATATCATCTTGTATAGTTGTGATCACAACACACACTTTGCCTTCAATTTGTCATCAAACATTTAACGTCAAGAGAGAAAAGATTGTGTTATATATTTTTTTTGTCCTACGCCGGTGAAACGAGAAGTTACGAGATTTTATATCGTGCATATCCTCAAGTGAGTGCATATAAAAACGAAGTGATATACCAAATACGATTTTCATCTAAATTGAACAACAAAATTGTTTTTTTTTCACCTTTTCTTCGGATTATGGAATTTTGAATTTAGTCACGACTGTTTAAATTCAATTGTAAGGAGAACATTTGCCGAAAACGCACCAACGATTAAGACATTTTCACAAACGTTTGGCAAGATATACATTTACTGCAAATTAGACGCATTTTCGATCAGAAAAGTACCAAAATTCCAACGACAAAACTAACATAGCTACAATGACCAATTCACACAATCGAGCTACGCAAAAGGAAGGCCGGAACTCCGAAAGGTAAGCGATTTAACTTTTTTTACGTTTTTTTTTTTAATAAACAAAAATTCAATGGTGACTTATTATGATGGTGCAAGTTTTTACATGTATGTCGATATTTATTGAAGATTGCCAGTCAGCTTTTATTACTGATTCTTTCTTTTTTTTACTTTCAAGTAAATTTGTTTTAAGTCATTTACTTTCAATATTTTTTCGGAGTTCAAAAAAAGCATTTTTCAATCAAAAACGAATTTTTTCAATTAATTTTTGCGATTCCTTGACGAATATCAATTCTTTCAAACGATTTCTATCTCAATGAAAGACCTTTCTACCAAAAATCTCATAAAAAAGATCCTTTTCACCGAAGAATTTCGAGGTTTTTTTGTTTAAAAAGATTTCCTTCATTCCGGCTGAGAAATTTTCACATCAAATACATGCAATAGATCTCTTCAAAAGACGTAAATTTTCTATACACATCATTCTTCTTCATTTAATTCAATGTTTTTTAAAACCTTTAAAAAAAAATCTCGATTCATCTCCGGTTGCTGAGATTCGGCCTTTTAAACATATCAAAATGTTAATGAACTGTAGACTGGGAATTTAAATGTCCAGAACAGCATAAAAACATGTTATTTCTGCATTGAAACCAGATTTTGAATAAAAATTAAACAAACTCGTTTAAAAAACGCGTCAATTGGCCGATTTTTTATTTCACTTTATTGGCATTGTTGTCGCCCTCTCCGAGACGAAATTGACCCTTTTTCAATTTTTTTTTTGCAAAGGGTCAAAAAAACATTCGAAAGAAACTTCATTTTCTCAACAAACTCAGAAAAAGGGGATTTCGAAAAAAGAGACATAATTGTCAAGACGATCGAATTACCATATAAAAGATGGCTGAAAGTATGAAAAAAAAACCGAATAATGAAAACAGATGAGAAAGAACTCAAAATGTGACAAAGAATGCAAAGTTCATGGGAAAAACAGCTCAATTGTCAAGAAAAATATACAATATTTGTGCAAATTGTGTCTGGTTTATATATCTGTCCATATTGCCTTCATTAGCCCGTATGTTTACATTGAACAACTGGAAAATTCCATTGGAGTTCTTTGTCTCATTACCCTTATCAATTTGGTGGCTATTTTTCTTCTTGTCGAAAAGAAATGACTAAACGAAACAAAAATTGTCATTAGACGAACTAAATCCAAAACTACCTGGCCTATTTAGTGTCAACGTTTTCAAAAACGCAATAAAATATGTTTACTATGTGCCGCAAACGACCGTTATAAACATTTCTTATATTTCTCATCTTTGCAAGACCAAAAACACACAAACACACATCCTTCTCGAAACCGTGTCACATTTCGAAACGTGTGTTCTTTTATTCGGCCATAAAAAATATCGTCCAATCGCAAACATCAATTTACATTTTATTGATTTGTGTTGTATTTGTTTTGGCTTCATTGATTCATATCAACTCAAAGCGACATTAATTCATATCTAGATATATTTTTTTTTGTCGATTCAACGCTTTGACGATTCATAATTTGGTGTGTGTTTTTGTTGTTGTCGACACGTCGATTGGAAGTGACGACAATGTGTATTGTATTGCGTTCGCAAAAACATTCGGCCAGCAACAACAATGAATGTGATCTTCTCAGCGATCGAGACGAAGAGAGAGAGAGAGAGAGAGAGAGAAACACACAATAAAGTGAACAACGAAAAGCGGTTTTTTGGTTAAACGTGCTTTGTATCGTACACTCGTTTCGTTCGGCCACGAGAAAACCGAAACTCGCACATATGCGAGAGCAAAAAAACGTGTTTTCGTGAAATAGAAAAAAAGTTGTAATTGATGTTTTTATTATTCATTGCATATGAGGGATATATGAGCATTTAGCGAGCTTCTGTTTTGCGATCCCTTTTTGATGAAAACAATAAACAGACAACAAAGCGACGAAGAAAAAAAGAGAATGAGACGATGAAAAATGAAAAAAAGAGACGACAAAAAGAGAGTAAAAAAACAGAGAAAGAGACAGAAATGAAGAGAGAACAAAACGAAAAGAAGCATCGATTTGTGAAACTGTGTGCGGTGTACACAAAGAAGCCTCATACTTACAATTGAGTACACAGCACTGTATTGTCCGTACTCACAGTACGAAAATAAATAAATATGGATTAAAATTGAGAGATAGACAAGCCGTACACGCATAGATTTATTTGCCATTCACTCGACCTTTGAGTTTTCAATGAGTGTGATTCTCTTCTTTTTTCGTGCAAACAATTCAAATCTCTTGTTTTTTTGCGTCCACACCATTCGTGTGTACCGTAAACTACGTCGTATGATTTTTTGTTGCTCCCTCTCTCTCTCTCTTTCTCTTTCTCAATGGTTTCGTTGCCATTTACAAACTGTATACGGTGTCTTTTTTCATCGCTCATTCGTAAATCAAAACACACAGAATGCCATAGCGGACCTTTGTCTTTTTTCTCTCACCAATTTGGCCAAAATGATAATCAGCAAAAAAGTATGCGAAATAATAATTTTTTTTGGATCCTTGTGCTTAAAACGTTCAGAAGGTCTTTTCAATTGAAACGCTAATTTGAAAAATATCTCGGCGTAATTCCATGAGGAACGGGGAATGACGTCGAAAATGCCTCAATATCAAGTTGTGTGTATGTGTTTGTGCTCAGAATACGTGCGACATATTGTGCGCGCTTGTTCCATCAGGGCAACTTGGTGTTATTTTTAACGTAGCCATTTCACATCATGTTTGGATTGCCGGGACTCGATTTTGTACGCAAGTCAGGTACACACACACACGTACAAATATAGCCAGAGAATTACGAAACAAAATAACAGCATACATAGTCCAATTTTGGATGGAGAGAGAGAGAGAGGAAGAGAAAACACGCGCTCGCGCACATTCATAACGCGCAATTCAAAATATTTACATCAAATGAAAATATTACATCCTCCATCGTCATCACAGATGATACATGTACACAGTTCCGTGTGTGTGCATTGTTGCCAACTCTAAAACAAACAATTATTCGAAACGAGAATCAAAAATCAATAATCGTCTCGGCAGCTGAAAATCAACATAATTTCCATCACACGTTCAAATACATTGAGGCTGCTTTTTTTGCTGACGATTTCAATGTCGAATTCTTATGCGCGTTCTCTGAATGCCGCGACATCAATGTTTAGCCACGCAAAATTGGACACAACAAATATAAAAAATGTCGCGAAACAAAATTTGCAAACATGATTTTTTTGCGGCCTGATATATAATGAAATTTATCTTATCTCATGAGTAAAACGCGCCTGTCTATAAAAAGATTATTTAAATCCCGACAACAGCTCGTAAATGTTAATTGTAAAAAAGACAGTTTATCGCTTGTTTTTGTTCGCTCTTCTTTTTCACTAGCTGCTTTATTTACGTCAAGAACGTGATAGCACAGGATTACACTACTCTACACGTCAGAGTTCATTCAGTGTTTACCGAAAAAAAGTCGATAAAAAAAACAATATTTCTCTTTCGGTGGCTATTTTAAGAAACCACTTGGTCGAGAAGCCATTTTTTTCGATGGAGTGGAATGAACGAAACCGTCGACAATATTTTGTCGTGAGTAAACAAAACAAAACGAATTTCCTGAATTAAATACTCTATAAGACGTGGCCGAACACAATTGTTTTACGTACGTTAATTTTCTCCGCTGCTTTTTTTTCGCTCTGTCAGCTGCTACCTTTGTTTGAAGCGATTTTTTTGACGTGCTGCGTCATTTGATACCCACTGGCTGTTTTGTTTTCAAAAACAGACTTTTTTATTGATGCACATTTTCACGTGTGAAAAATTAAGGCGATCAACAGACAGAAAATAGCGAATAATTGTCATACGTTCAAGCGAGTTCTTTCGCTCACTTTCGATCTCATCTTTTTATTTTTTTATGACGGCAACATTTTTTTTAATCTTTTTCTCTGCGCGATTAGTAGCTTACGTAAATAAAGCGCTTTATTATGATGAGCGTGTTTGAAGGAATTTAAAGCGATATTTTTTGAATGAATGAGCAGTTTTCTAAAAAAAATCACATACGAAGTAAGTGAATGAAGTCACTTTGAACGGATTTTGTATGTTGACATTTTGATTTTGCTTGGAACCATCACACCTTTTTGACTCAAATACGAGGTTTTACCATTTTGGAAAGTTTCTAAACTTTTTCATTTTTTTACACCTTTTGGCTTCAAATGGAGAAATTAGAAAAAAATCGAACGAAAAAAGCAAAAAAAGTCAGTTTTCAATAGTTTTAATAGAATTCTGTTGTTTACTCTTTGCCCTTTGTCAAGGACACATTTCCGACCACCTTTGATTTCTATCAACAATTGATTTGAAATGAATGCCAGAATCAATGTCATTGCAATAGGTGATGATGGATTACCATGAGAATTTTTTCGACAATTTTATCACCGAACATTCCTTTGTTCTTTTGTTTCTCTATTTTTTTTTTAATTTCTGAAAAAGTAGGTGAAAGAATAATAAGAAGAAAAAAAACAGAAAAAGATAGAGAGAGAACAAATAAGAATACAAAAATCTCTGCACTTTATAAATTAATAAAAAAACCTTAAAAATATCGTGCCGAAAAAAAATTAATAAAATGTCTCTTTAAATGTGTTGTAGGAATAATGCGAGCCCCAATCATCAAAAGAATGGAAATCAAAATGGTAATGGACGCAAGGTGACATTTTTCAACGATAATCAAAAAGGTGGCAAAGGATATTATGCACAAAAGCACTCGAGCAGTGCGCCGCAGTATTTTTCCACATCACCCAAAGATATCGTAATGCCGGCCAATTCAAATAATCATGCAAAAAATCATCATCATCGTCATCATCATAACAATACCAATAATAATCATCAACAACAACATCAACGTAATCATCACAACGGTAGTCCGCATGGTATTCTTGGTCGTAGTCCACCTCGTTCGCCCATTTCATTTGCATCACCGGCCGGAGTATCAACCACCACTCCAAATTTACATTTTGCTGGTAGTAAATATTTTGATGCACCATCACCGAATGCATTGCCACGGCCACCAAGCAATTGGACCACAACCAATAGCCAAATGATTGAAATGTCATTGTCACCACCGACCACCACATCGTCGATGGCCGATTTGATGGCTCAATCCAAACGGCGTTTGTTTCCATTAAATGATGCCGCCAGTGATAAGAAGTGTTCGTTAATGGTAGCCGAAGCGGCCAGCAAAAATTTATGCAGTGATATTTTTTCGCACAATTTAAAATTACTTTTAAATGTTCAGGCCTGAAACAGTGACACACTGATCAAATAATCGAATCGACCGTGCAACAAACTAAAAAAAAAACCACAACACACAATCAATTGTTTCTTTTTTAGACAAACTGACCTGATTTTTATCTGAAATGGATTACTGAAGTTATATATATAGAAATATGAAATTAAAAACGAGTTGAAAATTTTTCGAAATTTTCCACCTATCACCACCACATTTGAAATTGGAAACAAAAAAAAATAATTTTCGTGAAGAACCGAAAACAAAACCATCACTCTCGACATTTAAATAGAACATATTCGATCGGAATTTCGCACCCTTTCATCCAGTCAATAGTCCACAACATTCGAGATGACAATTTGCATTGCCGAATCTCGTACAACAACAACAAAAAGGTACTTCATAAGGCACAACCATTTTTTTTTAATACCAGCCCCAATCTAAAAATAAATTAGCTTTCGTTTTAAAAAAATTAAATTAAAATTTATAGAAATCAAAATCATTTAGCCCAAAGATTTAAATCGAAATGAACTGATGACACACAGAGAGAGTATGATATTAAATGAAAACAAAACACCGTTAGATTTTAAACAAAAACATAATTTAATAACATTGATGAAACGAAGAGATTTTCAATTTATATACGATTTATGAAATGCCGGTGGAATAGGAATATAGAAATTAAAACGGAATGAACTGTTTTTTTTTGTCAAGTTTATTCTTTGTTTCGTAATGTTAGTTGTAATTTCTCTTGCGAGAGAAGATATCGAAATCCAAAACCTTTTTATTTCATGTACAAACACAACACATAGACAGTTAATAGATTCAATTTAATGAGAGAAGAATGAAACAAAAAAAAATACTACAAAACATAGCCGCTTATCACCATTGTACAAAACAGTTTCACACATACAATACGCCGAGAGAGATTATCTACAATTTTTTTCTTTTTTTTTCTTTTTCAAGTTTACCAAAAAAAAAAATTTTGGTTTCGCACTTCATCAAATTCAAAATCAAAACCACACAAGCAGTTTTTACGAGTGTCCACATGTCGACCATTTCAAATGGTCAATTGAAATTGCGGCCGAACAAATTGAAGCTGGCAAAACAAAAAAACAAAAATTCATTGTGTGACGAAAAGTTTGTCGGATCCAAACCAGAATGCAATCAAATCGATCGAGACAGTGCCGATTTCGAATCAATCAAATTAATCTACAATCAAATAACCAAAATTCAATCGCAATTTTCACAATCAAACAAAATCGCAGAACTTTCAATCAAAACCATCTTTTTTGGCAAACGAGACTAGAGCGGATTTTCAAAATTTCACATAAAAACCAATTTTTTTTTATAAAAACCAAAACAAAAACAGAAATAATCGGTCTCTAGTGAGACGTACTTGAATTGTTCCTTTTGAAAAGCAAACTTCCAAGTGAACTGAATCACTTTATTTTTATATTTATAAAAAAAACTGATGGAAAAATGTATTTTTTTACTATTGAACATTTCAAATTTGCTTTTTACATCGATAAATAATGCCAAAACATTTATTTATTTTGCTAAAAAAAAAAAAATGAAATACTCTGAATATGAGCATAAAATTCCCATTGAACAAAATAAAATTTAATTGAAATTTAACACGGCAATCAAGTTGATCGAAAATTTTCGACGAATCGCCGGTTCTCCGACAACGTTTTGTTTTCAAACGGCAGAGTTTAAGATGAAGATATTTATCGACATTATTTAAATAATGGAATTTTCGATTTTCAATCAAATAATCTCTATATAATCATCTTTTTCTATTTCGCGCTATGTGCAACCGTTGAAACGTTGAAAATTTTCGATTCGACATCAAACTTATTCACGGCTCATAATGTGATTGCAATTCGAATAGACCAAAAGTCATTGTGTGTCTTAGAAATAGGTGAACGAAAAACTCTTGTCCAAAGATTTCCGGCTTTTCACAGTATTTAACACACTCATTCCAAATGTGTTTTTGATCACACTTGACATTTATTTTTATTATAAATCGAAAAGTGTCAAATGTTTTTTTTTCTACCTCGCAGTGTATTTGATGATAAAAATTCAGAGAATGACATAGCGAGAAGTTGAGCGCTCCGGAAATCTTTGACGACAGTTTTTTTTTTGTAAATTTTCTTCATCAAATCAAATAACTTGAATCAATCAGTCCGAAAAATGAATCAGTTGTCAAAATGTGTATCAAAGCAATCGAGACGAGGGTGTCAGCGTGACAAATGCTCAAATTTACCAATGCTTGGTGAATAATTGTATTCAATTTTCGATCGCGACACCCAACCAAATGGAACAGAATTTAAACAGATCTCAGATTTGATAATCATTTTTTGCTTTATCGGTGCGAATCGATTGCAACACACACACACAAACCAAATCCTGATCACCAAAATCAGTTCTGATTCTGTCATTAGACGATCCACGATTCTCATCAATCAGCAACGCTTGCGATATTCATAGATGTGATGTCCATGTGTTTTCATCCAATTTCATAATAGGTCGTGTGACGATTTGAAATCGTCCATTTCAAATAAGCGTTCTTGCATTTAATCTTCATTCACAATTGAATTGTTGAGAAGTTCGTCTGCATTTATTGACAGCCATATGTGGTTGATTAATGTGAAGCAGTGAAAATATTATTGTAAAAAATTACGCTTGATGATACCTCCAATCCATCGATGATAGATGAAATTTCATTCAAAATTTGGTATTCATTCCTGTGCAAAGGAACCATGATCTCTAGACAACACAGTTCGGACACCATACTTTTCGTAACCCAATGAATTCACACAGTCATTGCCCAATTTCATAAACAACCCCCAAAGCATGTGGCACCCAACTATCTGTTTTCAATTTTAAACAATTTTTCTTTCCATTCGATAAAAAAAAATTAAATTCTGAATTTATTAATAGTAGTATTTTCGGCAAATAAAAACTCCAACCGATCAATGATCGATTTTTTTTAAATAAAGAAACAAATTATAATATTATTAAAATGAATATAAAAAGGTTCATAAAATTTAAGAATTTATTAATATTTGGTGGACAAAAACAATAATTAAATGTAGTGAAACTTTAGAAATCTGTGACAGGCAACAACAAAAAATAACAATTATATTTTTTTTTCCGTTCGTTTCTGTCCGTCATCGTCGATAAAACAAAACCATACTAAAAATTTGTATTTAATTTAAGTGTGTCAATGTGGCAATGGAAAAAAATGTGAACATTTTACCTACTATTATTAAAAACTGCAAATTTAGATTGTACTAAACACACACACTCATACACACAGACACAGAAAATAAAACTCTCTCACACGCAAATTTGAGACAGACGACTAAAGTGCGAATCAATGCATAAATCAGTGAAAATAGTCGAGTTACTACACAAAATGTTATATGTAAATAATATGACATGGAGCTAAACAAAAAGTTATATGAATAATTGCTCTCGATAATTGATATAAACAAAATGAATCACTCTAATGTTTAAGCTAAGAAACAAATATTTGATTGAAGCAAACCAACAAAAAATCAACTAATAATAATGATAAACACAATTGAATGGTTTAAATGTGATTTTTTTTAAAAACTAAATAAGAGAAATAAAACGTTTTTTTTTTTTTTTTGAATAATAGAAATTTTGCTATAGTGCGCTCGCGGCAAAAACTCAATTTTTGCTTCGATTCAGAGAAATTAATTATGAAACAGAATGATAACGAAACGATGCGATGAAAGAAAAAAAAGAAATGACACACACACACATACAAAATACAAATTTAATGGAAGTTATAATGATTAAATAACAGCACTTAAAACAAATAACTAACGATAAAAAAAACCAATTTACTAGTGTCAATGGATATAGAGTAGAGCAAGCAAAACTTGGCAGGCAGTCAAAACAAGTGACAGCAAAAAAAAACTATTTCTATTTCGTGTTTTTAGTAATTATATATAAATATAAATGTGTACAGGAATCAGGAACGATAATGTTCTGCAACAATTTTTGTTTGGATACGAATTAGGTGGATTACATGCACTTCAAACAACCATACACACACAAAAACCCATAATTATCAGGAAAAATCAGAGAGAGATAATTTTAATTTCGCAAAAATATCAATATTTCGGCGGCGATTGTTTATAAATCAAAATTCAAAAAAAAAATGCCAAATTTGTTCAATATGATTACCATTCTCTCATTTTGACACACCGGCAAACACCATTTTTTTTTCTTTACAACCGACAAAATTTCAAAACCAAAAAAAATTTACTATTTTATTGTGCATGCTAAAAACCAAAACAAATAGCGATGGAACCACACAAAAAACATATTTTATAACATTAAAATAAAACAAAAATAAGGGTTTCTTCATTTTTTTGAAGTGTGATAGAAATAATACAATAAGTGTGCAATGCCTGGATCAAAGAAAAGGTATCGGACTTTTTTTTTTTAATTGAGACGGTGATGTGCCACTGTGCCGACAGATGAAAAAAAAGGAAATTCAATTCCACAGTCCAGAAAAATAATGAAATCATTTAATAAAGAAAGATAAATTGACAAAGAAAATTGTAGACGAACCGAAAATTTGGCGAACAAATTTTTGATGGTTAAATACAGATATAAATAGAGAGCCTTTGATGTGCGCACATTTTAAAAGAGATTTTGAAACGGAAACTCATTTTTATTTTTGCTCAAATATGTATTTACTTCTTGGACATGCGCGCGCATTTTTTTTACTACATTATTTTTCCGAACACACACAAACACTTTGGCAATTCAATTTCTTTCGTTTTCCGCGACAAAACCATTTTTTTTTTTTTTTTTCATTTATTATTCGATCAATTTGGGTAAAAAAATGACAACAACAAAATTTTGTTTCGGAATATTGCAATTTGGAACGAAAAATAAGCAAAACAAAAAAAAAAAATTAAAATCACATTTTTGCCAGAGTCACAACTGGGTAGAATAAAAACAGGATTTTTGAACCAAAATTTCCATTTTCAACCAAAGACCATTACCTGACTATATATGTGCAACATTCGATTACAAATCACAATGCAATATTTCCAGTGAACACACCGGTGTAAGAAATACAATCTGAAATTTATCCAAATTATCATCCCATTTTATTTAATATGACAAACATTTTAATACGAAAAAAAAAAATTTCGAACAAAAAAAAATATAAAAAAAATTATAAAAAAATCTTTGAAATTTTTCCGGCTTTGAGAAAGAAAACGCCATCGACAATAAGCCCAAAATTATCTCTCCCGCGCTACAACGAAACCAGTTTCAAATAGATATAAAATGATTTGATATAGAAAAACAGTCATTTTTTTCGTTCAGTGAAATTTCCAACATAATTCAGCTTAAACGTCCACACCCGGTGAAACAAAATTTTCAATTTTAGGCAAATAAATTAAAATTCATTATAATTATCCATTGATTTGTATTTACATCGTTGTCATTTTTGTTTTAAATGCAAAAAACTAAGAAATTCTGTACAAATTTTCTTATTTATTTTCATCTGTATATTGTTTTTTTCTGTATATTCTCAGTGTTTAACAAAAATTAATGCAATCAAAAAGAAAGAGGCGCAAAAATAAGCCAACTATGGCAAAATAAGCCAAAATTACTATTATTATTAATTTTTGTGTCGCAACAGTTGCGATTTATCATTATTATTTTCGTCAACAAAAATTATTTTTTTCGAGAAAAAAAAAATATGCAAATTTTCTCTTCTCTCTCAAAATGTAGAATTTCATTTTTTTTAATTCCTAATTCTGTGATTTAATTCTTTGTTTATTTTTGTGTGTCGTTTTCAAAATAAACACGGTCCAGATTGGATCGTCAATAGTCAGGTATATAGATAACAAAAATTTCAATAGAAAAACAACCACAACAACAGCAACAGTCGGCAATATACAATATATTTAAAATAAACAAAATAGTTGTACCTTACATAAATTTAATAACAGAAAACAAAAAGCAAATCAGAAGAGTAGCGTTTGTTCGGCCCTCGGGGGTTTGAAGAGCGAATACCATATTTGAGGCGAATTTTATAAAATTCGTCAATTTGGAATTGATCCGAAAAAAAATCTCATGAAATTTATCAAATTGAATCATACAACCAATGCAACAGAAACGCCAAAAAACCACATTATCAAAATTCATGCAAACCTATTTATCCACTAGGCCAATTAAATAATAACAAAATTTGCTTTACATTGTTCTTATTTGTGATGTTTATTTTAACGCGATATTCAAGAAGTAGAAGAAGAGAAACGAAATTTAAAAGGAATATTTTTTTGTTGAAAATGAAGGAAATGCCAGAGAGAGAGAGAGAGGATGAAATGAAGGAAAGGAGAAAATAAGAGAAATGATTGAATATAGGCCATGGAAAGAGGAAATATGTTTGTTGTTTTCTTTTTCACAAGAAGCAAGATAAACTAAGGTGAACGAAGCAGACTATAAATTTTTTTGAAATGGCATTAACGAGAAATTACGTGTTTTTTTGTTCTTTCGCGAAAACAATATGAAATGATGAAAAATGAAAGAAACAAACAAAAAAACACTTATTACTATATATAGCTATATATCGAATATATCTAGTTCTAAGATTTAATTGATGAAACAAAAAAGGAGCTAAAGGAGAAATTTAACTGAGAAATAAAAAATAATAGTATGGGAATTTACTGGAGAGGGAAGGAAAACGAAAACCAAACTGGCCAAATTTAAAAAAGAAGTTAAAACTTTTAACAACCGAACGAAAGAACATACAAAATCGAATGAAATTTTTTTTTGTCTATTTTGATATTGGGCAGTCCAAAAACCAGTCAACAACAACAAAAAAAAAACGAATGAAAAAAATTCTCTGATTTCAATCTTTGAAAGAATGCCTACAAACCTAAAAGAACAGCAAAAATGTGTAAAAATTGAGAGCAAAAATTACATAAAGAAGGGCAAGCAACTGATTTTAAATTTTATTGCTTGTCTCTTTTTCATCTTCGTCGCAACAAAACTGGGTTTTCGTTTTTTATTCTCTCTCATTCTCATACAGAAACTCCTCTTAAGTTTACGTTTTTTTTTTTGTAATTTTAAAAAAACAATTTGTGATGTTAAATGAAAGAAGATGAGAAATTGTAATTGAATTTATATTGAAACGATAAACAAATCCAATTGTAAAACGAAAATATGTGAAAACACACAATTTATTTTGAAGAAAAGATAGCCTATTCAAACGGAATTCCCATTTCAAATGAAGACAGCTCAAATTAACGAATGAAAAAATAATAATAATAGAACAGAGAAAAGAAAAGACAAGAAAACCAAAAGAACGACATGAAAAAAGATAAAAAAAAACTTACGCAAGAAACCAACAATTTTTGCAAACAAAAAAATAAAATAAAAAAGGCTATCAAGCCATACACACATCAAGTACCAAAATCCTCAAACATATACACACACATACAACCAATCCCCATAAACATTACTTAAATCCCCCGACCATAGTTACCGTTTCCGACAGTTTTATGCTTTTTTACCAATTAAAACTTTTTTTTATCAAACAAATCCATAGTCCCACATTTCATAGTCCCATCCCAGATATTTCTACAGTGAGAATTGATTCATGGACATTTTTTTCGAAGAATTCGATGATCGATTTGAATGTAGAAATATTTTCCCATCAAATCCACATCCCCCACCCCCCAAATATATAAATAAAGATTTCGAAGATCAAATATCACAAAAAAGTCTTAAGTGCTCAATTGAACGCTTAGGCAAAATCAAAATATCACAAACCAAAGCCCTTGTGGCTGCGGCAACGAAGATGACACCACCCAGTAGGGAAGAAGAGGACCAGGATGAAATCAACATCTTCCACCACTGGGACCGATCTTAATTTCATCGCCAAATCACCACTCTTTGGACACGAAACGTCTCATTCGGTGAGAAAAGAAGTATGAAGAGACGTAAAAGAACATCGAAGCAACGGTGAGGAAGATCTGAATCACCGATAGGCAAAACGAGTTAACATCAGCTCGTAGGTAATTTTTGGCTTTTGAATAACTTAAAATTTCTTTCATTTTTATGCAGTAAACAATCTGTGATACAAGCAAATACTGGATTTACCGAAGGTGATGAGAAGATTTTCGGGCGATTAGCTGATTTAATGAAGAACAACCAAAACCAAGAAAGACCTAAACTATATGAAAGCTGACAACATCGCATTCATTTGAATCAACATTGGCTGGTGTAATGAACTGAAAATCTCAACTCTTGCACTTTAATCCAAAAATCGATTAAAAAAATAAAATTGCATAAAATGAAATAAAGTAGTCAAAATACCTAAACCAAATGTGTTTTTCATTTTTAACAGCGTTATTTTCGACAGGCACAACATTTTTACTTTAAAGTACAGTCAGAATACATATTGCATGGGATCTAATCTATTTTAGTTGAAATTACCTAGATAAAGTAGTCATTACCTGAATTATAAAGCCTGAAATAAAATACATTTTTTTGCACTTTGAATAAAAAATCGAGCAACTAAGAGGCTGAGAATCGTTGAAAGTCGTAATTTTAGCAGATCAGAAGCAATCAATAAAGATCATATAGAAGGCTAGTAAAAATCAAATTTTTCTCGAGATAAAAAACCAAATAAAACACAGCAATCTAACTTTCATTCAATAAAAAGTATCTATTTATTTGATTTGTTGTATTTTCGTGAATTTCGTGAACATTGAACAATTTAGTAACATTTTTATTTTAAAAGCACGCTTTGAATTTCAATTAATGATATACATTTTCATTTGGTCAAAATATTGAGATAAAACAGTAAAAACATTTTAAGGTATATTCTTGACGATCCAATCATAATGCGTAGATAATCTAGTTACAAGCATGCCCGTTTCTTTGATTGAGTGCCTTCTTCCATTTGTGACGTTATATAGAAAGAAATATCGTGCGTATATGCCATACAATTTACCATTATCAAGGTTTTGGATCATAGGAGAACCGGAGTCACCCTGCATTTTTTTTGAAATCATAAATTCGAAGATATAATATGTATATAAATATATAATATCAGTTATCAGTGGCGTATTAACATTCTCTGATTTCAATCTCTGATTTCAATTACATGATTTTTTTACTTTGAACTGTCGCACGAATCTCTATGATAATACGCCACTGTTAAATCGGGAAAATTGTATAATCGAACAACTTACTTCAAAACCAATACCATCAATTCCTTCCGCGCAGATAAAAAACAAATTATTTTCATTGTAAATGTGTGCTGGAGGCAAACGGCATGCTGAAGCATGCACTACTATTGTGTTGATAGCTCTAAGTTTACCATCCTCTCTCCAAAAATTTACCTCAAATGTGTCATTTACATTTTCCGTATAACGTTGATGAATATTACCATATCCACCAAGGATTCCAGTATCACCCGGAATAACATTGTCTCTACTAAGCCAGAGTGGCTTTGCTTTGAATATTTGGTTTTCCTGATCAAGATTCAATGGCCTTGTCAATTTGATTAATGCAATGTCATAATCTGTATCTTCGCCGATGCGATATTTTTCGTGAATTATTATATTTTCGACGCAATATCTTTGATTGCTCCGAACTTTTTTTAAGTCAATTGCACCAACTATGACGGAAACATTTCGAGGTTCTGTTTCGTCGACGCAATGTGCTGCTGTGATAATATAGCGGTCTGTAAGAATACCTCCTCCACATGCATGTACATGGCCATTTGCGTCTGAGTAGTTAATATCCGAATCACGCGTATTGTAAACTTTGTCTCCAAATAACCACTTAAATGACATATACCAACCATCTTTACAGGGTGTGAATTCTTTAAAACCCGCTTGACTTTGCACAGATACTGTATATGGTATTGCATTTTCCATTATTACTTCCGATTTTATACGAGCCTCTGAAAAATCGATCAAAATTGATTTTTAGTATATTCAAATGGAATCAAATCAAACATTAGAAGAATGTTTCATTGAATTTCAGAAATAAAACATTTATTCAATTTAAAATTGCTTGAAAGAAGGAGAAGTAATGAATTGATCGATCCAAGTACAGTCAGCGTCAGATTGAAGTACAAATTTTTTTAAATGTAGTGAAACTTTAGAAATCTGTGTATCTGTATTATATATTTTTCCGTTCGTTTCTGTCTGTCATCGTCGATAATTAATCATTCACAGGAAAACAAATCACTTTTTTTTCATAACATATACTGATAATAGCACTGATTTTTAACCATTGCACTAAAATTAATTTTTTCCATGCATAACCCAGTTTTACCTGAATTCACCTCAGAGATAAAATGTAATGCACACACCGCTAGAGACACCACAACAATAAAATTTGTACGAGATTTCATTTTGACGACCTAACTTTACGGAGCCTTAGAAGCAACTAAAGACATTTACTACTTGCATACTCAAAGCAATGGTCAACGGTAGATGTGGCAAACGTGTTAAATTACTCATTTACTTAAATATCGGTTACCGTTAATTTTTTAAACAAAATCATTATGTTTGCAATATTGGCTTTGTCATCATGTTTTACTGGGTGTGTCATTAAACAATCAGCTTTTGCTGATAAAGTATGCATATGCGCTTTATTACTTTTCCGCACACCTAGTGTAGGAAAGGTATTGTATTAGGCCAAAAAATTAAAGTCACCCCAAAACATGTTTTCTATGCATATTTTATGTAGAAAACACGATTGAAGATGATTTTGGGGCATATTGATGTGCGTCGCTATGTGTGATGTGTCCTGTGTACGATAAGTCTTCTTCCAAAAACTCAATTCAAATTCTGAATTTGGAGGATGCTTGGGGACTACTAGGAGACATGCTGATTAGTTTTTGAGCAATATCTGTTGACCGGTGTAATTTTTTTTGATCATTTTTCAACCATTTTGGTGACACGATGGTTTCGTGCTCAGACACGAAATTCAAAATCTGACCGTACGAGATGATTGGGCACTACGAGGAATAGATCTGGTCAAATTTTCAACGACATTGATTGATCGGTTTAAAACTTAGACTCTGAAGAAGCACTTATGAGAAAAATGCCTTAAAATGATATTCTTTCAATTTAAACGCTGAAAGACTGTGTAGAGGGGGTTTTTTGGAACGAGAAACCCGAATCTGATGTTAGTTTTAAGATGCAATCAATTTTTCACAGACTTTTCATACAAACATCCACAAAACATTTCATTTTTGTATGAAAGACTTGCCTTTGTGGTACCGTAATGATATGACACTTTAAACAGGCTATTTTTTGATTGAAATTTTTTTAACTTGGTGTGATTATTTACATTGATAAGAAAATAATATTCACAAGGTTTGACGGTAATTTAAGTTACTGCAACCATATCGGTTCCATGCGGAAAAGTCAGCTTGCGTACGTAAGCCTCTTTATTTTTGTAAGTAGTTCAACATTATAAATGTGTTATAGTTTTTTTTCTCGGCAAAAAAGTATGACAACGACCAAGCCGAACAACAAACATGAAGTATCACTTCAATTTTGATGAAAAAATTTCATCACTCAGACTGCAAGTCAAAAATGTCCTAAATTAGTCAACTGCTACGAGTTGATTAAAATTGGTTAGAGTTCATACCAAGCACTCAGTAAGCCAGTAAAATTTTCCGATATGCGGCGAATAATATTTGCATTTGGCTGTTCTTTTTGCAACGAATCCAATAGTTTCATCGAAAAATTTAGTTGACCAAAATAGGGTTGATAAGCGCTTTTTTATCTTGCTGCTGTGGCGTATGGCTATATAAATGTGGAAGTATCCATATAATTCCCACTATTGAAACCACTGCCAATGATTATTATTGTGAAAATTATCTATATATCACACTTATGCTTTGAAAGAGGATGGCGTCAGTAGGTAAGAAAACATGAAAATTGTAAAGTGTAATATTCGAATTTTATTTAATATTTTTCATTTAGGTCCATTATAAATTCCTGCGAATAATATTTCTTTAAATTTGTTATCATGGATCATATACAAGAATGGATGATTGCAATTAAATATTTCATATTCATATTTATATCTTTTAGATGCTATCATATAGGCATATCCTGTGGCAGCTGCAGCCTTTGTACCTTCTTCATAAATGTCTATTTTCGCCTTGTGTATCAATTTAGTTTTGGTTTCTATTTCTTCGGATTCGAAAAAGTCGCTGAAATTTGAATTTTTAAACAAATTCTGTGATCCCATACGTTTCATTGCCTAAATTAAATTAAATTAAATGGAATACATTAGAAAAAGTCCATTGAAACACCAACGTTGAAAATTTTAACATACCGATTCCAAATCAGATGTTTTCTCAAGTGTAAATTTTGGGAAATAAATCTTAACATTTTCAACTCTTGTCTCAGCTCCGCTAAATGCATAATCTAAAATTTCGTCCGTAAATTTTCCCAATAATTCATCAATTGATGTTGAATTATCTAACGGCAGGAAAATATACATTGAGATCGATCCATTTTCACCTTTGTATGGCATTTTCAGGAATTTTACATCCAAACTTCTTATGAAACCTGATGCGAAATAGATTGAATTAATTCTTATCCACTGATTGTCAGTCAAATGTATGATTTTTTTTACCATATTCGGCCTCTTCTCTTTTATACATCATATCAACATAAAGTGGTTCTCCACTCGAAACATAGAACAGCTTCGAATCGGTTTGTTGTTTATTGAACTTTTTTAACTAAAAATACATGTAAACAAATTGAAATTTAGTTTTACAAAATCATACGGTTAACTTACCCATGCTCCTTTGAAATATATTGCATTTACAATAGTAAACAAGGTGTTGTTTGTGATTTGATCGTATACAAAATTTTTAATATTATTCTTTGTAACATTTTCCACGAATTGGTTGATGTGTTCGATACATTGATGTGGATCATCAGCAAAATTCAATTGTTCAATACTGTCGTTAAACAATTGTTTCGCCCGTTCACTGCAATTAAAAATTAATTTTCCAGTTTAACACAAAATTCTCGTTAAACTACTCAGAGAAATTGAACGGAGCAAACTGAGCAAACGGTTCAAGATGTCACTGTTTTTATTCAAGCAGTTACTGTAAATGTCACATTCAAAATAGAAGTCTGCTTTGAGGTGAAAAGTTGTTGTTGTTACAAAATTACACTGAAGCGTTTTTCTACCAGGCTAAAAGTGGCATTTTACAATGTTTGCCATTCAGTTTTCTCTGTTCAATTCCTTTGAGTAAATATTCACATAAAAAAATTGTGTTTTCTTACCGCATGTTAATATACACCGACACGTAGAACTTGTTAACTGAATTTAATTCGATTGTTTGATTCTGAGATTGACTTTGAAATCGTTTGGCTCGTACTTCTTTCTCCAATTTATACATATACTCGATATCAGCCTTACTTTCAGCCCAATGCAATCCTAATAAATCTTTGAGTTCTTTTTCTGTTTCACCACCAGCACCCAAGTATGCCAATAAAAGTGTCCGATATAAACTATGCGGCGAATAAAAAACGTTTTCATTTGGATGCTCTTTTTGCAACGAATCCAATATTTTAAGCGAAAAATTTAGTTGACCAAAATAAGGTTGATAGGTGCGTTTTTCAGACGAATAATCCGGTTTTTCTTTATAGCCGAGAGAATCCTGACTTGAAAAAATACTTTAAATAAAAACAGTTTTTTATGAGTGTATACCAAAGTTTATGTGAGTATTTGTGATTAATTTGGGTGAAAAACAAATATCATGCACCATTCATATTCCTGCATGTTATGTACATTTACTAAACTAAATAAAATCTGTGAATTTACTTGTGAAAATACTTCAAATTGCCTAGTTCAGGGCCCCTATAGTCACGTATTGAATGTGGAAGTATCCATATAATCGCCACTATTGAAACCACTGCCAATAATGCAATTATTGTGAAAATTATCAATTTTTTCATATTTATGCTATGAACGGGGATGGCGTCCTTTTTCAGTTTTTGAACTTCTTTATATTCCAAATAATAATAACTGTTCACTTTCACGGCAGAAATGCAACTGAAGAGGACGACAGTATCTTGTTTAATATCTCACGATGGTGAACATGGTAGGGAGAAATGAAATCGTTAGGGGAAGAAAACGAAGAATTCATAAATCTTATAACCCTTTCCTGGATATATTCTGTCAAAATTCTAAGTCAAAGTACAGAGAAAGAGAGAAAGAATGCAAAGAAATGCACTCATACATCCGAATTCGATTACAAGCGAACAAAAAAGTCCCCTATTGTAACCAATTGTTAACATTTAATTTGAATGAACAAACTAACGTAAAATAACAAAAGTAAAGCCAAGGTCATGTAAAGGTGATAGGTATTTCATATTAGATTAATAAAGTAGATGTACATTTTTTGAAAATTTTAAACGTTGCACATCAATGTTGCATCGTTCAAATTAATTTGATCATAATGAACTGATTGAAAATAAATCTAATGCAATTGGAGCATTTTTCAACCTGTTCGTTGTTTTTCAGTCTATGTATTTCGGATGGATATCCATCCGAGATATTTTAGAATATCTGGATATTCAACGCAACTGCACAGCGCCAGAGCTGTGTGCGTCGCAAATAGAATCTACGGTATGTCGCGACGTATATGTCTACCAAGTGCCGCACGTACACAGTCACACTGTGTCTGTATTTTACGTGTAGCGACATACCGTAGATTATATGTGCGACGCACACAGCTCTGGCTCTGTGCAGTTGCGTTAAATATCCAGATATTCTAAAATATCTCGGATGGATATCCATCCGAAATACATAGACTGTTGTTTTTTAACATTTTATTTGAACAAATGCTTTCTACCAATGAAATGCGTACTTGTCATAATGAAAGCCAATGAAAGCACCCAAATTTGCTGAAGATAAAAGTTTGGCCCATGTTTTCGACTTTAATGAATTTAATGAATCGTCGAAAGTCGTAAGTTTTGCAGCAACTTAATATAAGATCTAGTAAGGTAAACACAGCAACACTTTTTTTAGCCGTAATCAGAAGCAATCAATAAAGATCATATGTATAAAAGGCAAGTATAAAAATCAATTTTTTCTCGAAGTAAATAAAAGACAGCAATCAAAATTTCATTCAACAAAAAGTATTTATTTATTTATTTAATTTGTTCTATTTTCGTAACAACCATATGGTTGGTCAATATTGAACAATTTAATGACCGCTTATTATATCATGAATCCAGTCATAGTATTTTTCCAAGCGTACAAATACCTCCTTATTTCCAATAAATTCATGCGCTTTCTCTGTGGTGTTATAAAAAGTCGCTGCATGACTTGCAATACCAAACGCAAGGTTATCGCTGGTGATAACGGGTGCTCCTGGGTCGCTCTTAAAGAAAAAAAGAGAAAAAAGAATTCATGGCTATGATATAATTAAATTCTGTTGTGTCGAAAGCCGGAACATTTTCCGTAAATTCGCCAAATCCTCGAATTCTCGTGAAAACGTTAATTTGGGAAAAATGAGTTTTCGATTCATTCAAAAAATTGCCCATTGCGTAAAAATATAAAAAAAAAACAACTTACATGAGCCGTACGACGGTCATCAGTTCTATTTGCGCAAATGAATATTTCATCTTCATTAAGTTGGGGATCTGCCGTTATGTTGAAATGACATTCTTCTCCATCTACTACCACAATAGACATGTTTCCAAGTTGTTTATCATAAGAACCAATAGTCCTAGCTGCTTGATTTGGTTTTTCTATAACTCGTTCTGCAAAAAGGCCATAACCGCCTACAATTCCAACTCTACGCGAACGCAAAAACTCTTTCGTTATTTCGAGTTTTTTTGCTTTGCCAGTTGTTTTTTTCTCGCTTAAATCAATATTCCGAGTCAGTTTAATAATTGCAATATCATTCCAATTGTTGGTAATGTTAAACTTTTCGTGAATTATGACGTTCTCCACACAGTATCTTTGGTTTTCCGATACTTTGTTTAGATTGCTTTCACCAACGACCACCGACATGCTTTTGAAGTTCTTAGTTTTCGCAATACTCTGCACACAGTGGGCTGCAGTCAATATGAAGCGGTCGGCTATAATGCCACCGCTACACTCATGTTGATGATTTTCAGCCGTCGAATACTATATTTCAGAGAGGGTTTTTCCAAATGGCCACCAATATGCCCAATAATTTTTATCCACGCACGCAGTGGATTCTCTACCCTTTTGTATTTGCACCGATACCACATGTGACAATTCGATCTTTTTCCCATTGTCTATGTGGGGATCTGGAAGATAAAATAAAATAAATAAATAAATTTCATTTACAGTATATTCTACTTGGCAGAAGAAATATCTGAGCAACTAAAAACATTGACTACTTTCATACTCAGTGCGTTAGTCAACGGCGTTCAATAACATAAACATTATTTTTGGAAGAAAAAAAAATCAGCTGCAAACCCATATTCGCATTGTCATCACTTTTTGCTGGGTGTGTACATTGTACAATCAGCAAAGTATGCGCTTTATTTTTGAATGTAGTTCAAGTTTAAAAATGTCCAAACATCACATTTGTCAGAGTTTTTTCACAGGAAAAAAGTAAGACAACAAATATAGGGAACAACAAAAATGAAATACCTCTCTCAGCATTTATATTTTTCTTTACCCAGTCATAGAAATATTCCATTCTTGCAGAAAACATTAATTGTTGATGGTTATCATTGTCACCGTGAGTATGTACTCCGATTAGTTCGTCCTTTCCTTTTAAAGTAAGCGGTGCTCCTGAGTCGCCCTGTGAAAAATATATATAGGTTTTTTATAAAATATTTAAATAAATATGTGCATTGTTGAACATCTTACAATAAAAGTAGTTGAATTATTGTTTCCAATTGTACATATCTTTAATTTCTTATTACTGTATGTTTTTATTCCATTTTTAATATAAAAACAATCTGAATCATTCAGTGTTTTGACATAAATGACTCGAAGTTGGTAATCAAAGCTTCCGCGATATTCAAGCTTTGTTTTATTTGTTTCAGGATTAGTTTTATTCTCGTATGTTACATTATAAGCACCATATCTACAAAAAAAAAAGGAAATTATGAGAACGGGTGAGATGAAATTAAAATTGTGAATGAATTTCAAAAATAAATGTATACCCAGCTAAATTTGCTTCAGTTCCTGGACCAATATGTTGTTTGGAAAGCGGGATTATTTCTGCTGGAACTTTATCATCATTGAAATCAATAGGCTGCGTTAACTCTAACAATGCCAAGTCGCCCTCGTTATTTGCACTATTATAGAAGTCATATCTAATTATACGTCTGACGCAATAGCGTTGGAAATCTTTTGCGTCACTTGCGTTCTTGGCTCCAACAACGACAGATACATACAAATTTTCTTCTTTTAAATTCCTATAATCATCGAAACAATGGGCTGCCGTAAGAATAAAGTTTTCTGCTACGATGGAACCTCCACACTCATGAACATGAGACGTTGCGAACGATGCACGGGATTTGGATACCGAGACGTAGTCATATGAGCAGGTTGAGTTTGCAAGAGGACTTATTTGAACGGATACTAAATATGGAATCGGGTTTGATAGACTTCCTCCAATGATTCTTGGATCTGTATATGAAAAGAAGATAAATAAATCGGATAATGAATTTTTTCTCAACTGTTAATCTGTTGAAAATTGAACTTTATCTTGTGGTCTAGATTATGTGTAAATATTAGACTGGCCCCCAAAACACAAAAGTTGAAAAACACATTCAGAGCCATTTTATTCATATCTAAATGTAAAAAGAAAACTGCTTTAAAAGGCATTTATCACCTAATCGAAAAATTCCTAATTTTCATAACTTGATAACACTTGAACGGCTTGATAACACTTGTTAAATTAGCCGACATATATAACAAATCACTTATTGACCGACTGTTGAAAAAACATTCTCACAATTTAAGAAGAGAGACATCAACAACAATTTTTTCGCAAAACACTACATTTACACAATCAGCTGATCTAAGGGAAATATCACTCTTAAAAACTTATTGTTCACTGACTTAAAGGTATGAATATCCGCGGTACAACACAAATAATAAGATACGGTTTGAGCGACTGAATCAAAACGAATTTCTGAAGAAAAAAAATAAAACTTAAATAAATTTTCAAGAGTGATTTCTATCTCGATTCACCACAGTTAGTTAATGATCAAAATTTTTGTCTAAAACCATATGAAACTTTCACAAAATTAATCATTCTCAGGAAAACCAATCACTTTTTCTTTATTAAAATATACTTTGAAAATAGCACTGATTTCTAACCAATAACAATTGCACTAAAATTTATTCTTTCCATGCAACATCTTGAACTTACCTGAATTGACGAAAGAGATTAATGTGACAGCACATATCACAACAATAAAACTTGTAAGAGATTTCATTTTGATGACCTAACTTTATAGAGCTTTAAAAGCAACTGAAGACATTGGCTTCTTTCATACTCAATGCGTTGGTCAATTACTCATTTCCTTAAACATCGGTTACGATAAACTTTTTAAACAAAATCAGCTGCAAACACATATTCGCATTGTCATCACTTTTTACTGCGTATTTTCACAAACAATCAGCAAAATATGCTTATGAACTTTATTTTGTAATGTAGTTCAAGATTATTATAAATTTGTTATAGTTTTTTTTCTCAGCAAAAAAGTATGACAACAACTAAGCCGAACAACAAACCTGATGTATCACTAGATTTTGATGAAAATATTCTCTTTCTCAAGTTCAAAAAAGCAAAATTAGACAAGAATTTTATTCAAAAATATCCATTTTTTTTGTAATTTAATTGGTTTGTCTTTATTGATTAAAAAAATCAAGTTTGGAAAATAAAAAGGAAGATATTGTCGTGAAAAAGTTCAAGAAGTAGGTTTAAGAACTCTGTATTACTATTGCTATTAAAATTCTTCATCAGCCAGTCGTAGAAATATTTGATTTGTGAAAAAATAGACTTACATACATATGTATATATTAAAATACTCATTGCTTAGTTAAAAAAAATTCATTTTGGTCCGTGATAAATTCCTGCGAATAGAATTTCTTTAAATTTGCGATCGTGAATCACGAACATGAATGGACGATTACACTTAAATACTACCGATTTTGGCCTTGAATGAATTGAATGTAACGGCATACCGAACAGTGTTGCAGCTGACGCTGTTGAACCTTCTTCATTTACTTCAATTTTCGCCTTATGTACCATTTTATTATCGCCTGTTTTAACCGAAGCTTCAAAGAAACCATTGAAATTTGAATTTTTAAACAAATTCTGTGACCCCATGCGTTTCATTGCCTAAATTAAATTAAATTAAATTCATTAGAAAAAGTACATTGAAACACCAAAGTTGAACATTTTCAGCTTACCGACTCCAAATCAGATGTTTTTTCAAGTGAAAACTTTGGAATTAAAATGTGAACAATGGGGGTTTTTATTTCAACTCTGTTGAATGCATAATCTAGAATTTTTGGCGTAAATTTCCCCAATAAGTCATCAATTGATGTTGAATTATCCAAAGGCAGGAAAATATACATTGAGATCGATCCATCTTCACCTTTGTATGGCACTTTCAAGAAACGTACTTTCAAACTTTCAATCAAACCTGATGCGCAATAAATTACAATCAACTATTATTATTCGTTTCAATGTTAGTCAAATGTATAGAGAAAAGTTACCACATTCGGTACGCTCCTCTTTGTACATCATATCGACATGAACATGTTGGCGCCCATAAAATAACTCCCGCTCGGTATCTGCTTTGTCGAACCTTTTTTCCTATAAATCAATGTGCATCCTTTGTAATGTGTTTTCTCATAGTCAGATGATTCGTTTAGAATTTACATACCCAATCACCTTTGAAATAAACTGCATTTACAATAGCAAGCGCGGTGTGTTCTTTGATTTCATCGCGTATAAGATTTTGAATTTGATTCTTAGTGATTTTTTCGACGAATTGGTTAATTTGTTTGATACATTGATCTAGATCGGTATCAAAGTTGAGTTGTTCAATACGGTCATTCAACAATTTCTTCACCGAATACCTAAAATTGAAAATTCATTTAAAATGTGAGAAGAATTTATTTTTAATACAAACAAAGATTTACTCTCTTACTTTAGTCGAAATTTTGCTGACACATATAGTTTATTGACTGAGTTAAATTCGATTGTTTGATTCTGAGATTGACTTTGAAATCGTTCGGCTCGTACTTCTTTCTCCAATTCATACATATACTCGATATCAGCTTTACTTTCAGCCCAATGCAATCCTAATAAATCTTTGAGTTCTTTTTCTGTTTTACCACCAGCACCAAAGTAAGCCAGTAAAAGTACCTGATATAAGCTGTGCGGCGAATAAATAATACTTTCATTTGGCTGTTCTTTTTGCAACGAATCCAATAATTTGAGCGAAAAATTTAGTTGACCAAAATATTGGTGAGCGCGTTTCTGAGACGAATAATCCGGTTTATATTGCACTTGAAGTATCCATATAATCGTCACTATTGAAATCACTGCCAATAATGCAATTATTGTGAAAATTATCGATTTTTTCATATTTATGCTATTAACGAGGATGGCGTCCTTTTTCAGTTTTTGAACTTCTTTATATTTCAAATAATAACAACTGTTCGCTTACACAGTAGCAATGCAACTGAAGACAACACACAAGATGGTGAACATATATTGTCTCTATCACTCACATTGGTAGGGGAGAAATGAAATCGTTAGGGGAAGAATTGTAAGTATGGAAGGTACCCCTAAATAGTATTGAAATTTCTTCAAATTTTCTGAGATTGTGTATTTTGGCAAGAAAATAAGATTCACAAGTTTTTATGATGATTAAATTACTTCAAACAAACATTTATTGCGTTTTGTTGATCCAAAATTGATCGGATTTTTTTCCCAAGATGTGTAGTTGCAGTATTTTAATCACAAATTTGAAAAAAAAAATCAATGCAAATTAGGGATACTTCCCATAGAAAATTTTCTTTTTTTAAATTGAACATTATCTGTCGTTTATTCGAATATTTTGCAGTTGTTTGCTTTTTAACATACGAATTTATATCTGACTGTTAACGATAATCTGAATTGTTAACGATTTTATTTTGATTCCGCTTTCGACATATGAACGCTTGAGAATAATAATGAAACTTAATTTTTGTTCAAACTGAAGTGTCCCTTCGAAATATTTCCAATAAAAGTGTCCCAAGTTTATATGGCAAACTATATACAAACTTGGGACACTTTTATTGGAAATATTCCGAAGGGACACTTAAGTTTGAACAAAAATTAAGTTTCATTATTATTCTCAACCATTCATATTTTCTTATCAATAAGCAAAAGAGAATTATTATTGTTAGTTCTTTCGCGCAAATCAAGTTGTAATATTTACAAACGTTATCCGTTTCATTCTATGAAGAAAACAAGATCTTGGAGTA